GGGAGGAGGTGCCTGTAACCTCAACTGGGAGAGCAGTTAAGGAGAACTTCCTGAAAGGGGGAGCACCCCTCTAATGGCTATGATTCACTGCAGGCTGAGCTCTGCCCCCTCACCAGAGAGGGAGGCCTTGGTGTGGGCCGGAGCCAGCCAAGATGCCCCAAACCTCACCCCATCTGCAGCCCTGTGGCCAAGAGCAGTGGACATCTCTTCTGCCGTCCCTGAGTTTTTGTGCTCATTAGTCACACAGATTGTCACAGTCAGTTGACACAGACCCCGAGCATCCTTCCTCCCCTGCTGACGTTCCTCCTGAGTTCTTGCCCTTCCTCTGCTGTGCAGACCTAACTCTCCTCCTCTTCTTCCGAGATGTGCCCAGTCAAGGCTGAGCTCACTCCCACCCTGGCCAAACAGGAAGGGCATTGATTACATGGCTGGACCCTGGCCTCTGTCTTACCCATTTTTTTGACCTTTGGAGTGCCTTTGTGTCTCCATACATTCTTCAGGGATCCAAGAGCCCTGACCTGGGCCCCCTACTCATTTCTGGGAGCTGGAGGTGCTGGAATAGGCCAGGTACCATGTGTCTGATGGGCAGGTGGCCTGGTGCTAGGACCAAGGCAGGAAGACGATTCCAGGACACACTGAGTCCCACTGAACAGAGCTGGTTATTATGGAACTGCCTGTAGCACATGGAAAAGGAGGCTGTGACTCCTGCAAGAGGCCTTCTTTCAATTCAGCTCAGAAGGATGATCTTTCTGAAGCCCTCTGCACAGTTGTCCACTTAATAAAGAAATGTTGACATTTGCCCCAAATGGCACAGAATCACATTGGTGATTACTCAGACTGACACATTTACCCTGAGTTGAAACTCTGTAGGTGTGACCGTTGGCTGCAGAACTCTCCACTGATTACTGAAACACTAAGCCACAAAAAGTGAGATTTTTAGAGTGTGCAGAATTGTAAGGTTCTGTGTGTGTATACAAGTACCCTTAAAATGGGATTGTCAACTTCTTTAATAGAGCTTTTGTTATTTTGGGGAAATGCAACAGAATGTTTGCTTTCGGCTTGCCTCAGTTCCCAATGGAGATTTCCCTCCTTATCCTCGGTGGGCATTTGGGTTTTTGCTGGCTTATCCTGGGAAAGGGAGAGTGGTAGTTCTCATTCCCTGGGGCTAAACAGTGTGGCTCAGGGGAGCCCTGTGTGGTCTCCTTGGAGGGCCTGAGCCAGAGGTGGGCTTTTTTGGCAGCATAGCAGATGCCACAGCAGGGGCGCTGCACCAGGACACACTCAGTGGTTGGGCCAGGCCTGTGTACGGAAATTTCATTTTCTTGGGACACTGACCATGTTGGTCAGCCTCTCCTTTGCTTCTTTCTCTGTAGCACAAGGTGGTACCCATTTAAGGTTTACTTGAAAGACCTGGGCATGGGTGATGAGATGTGATGACTGAGAATTGGCCCTGCCTCAGGTCAGCTGTGGGTCCCTGGCCATGTGATAAAGCTTCATTGCTCTCATGGGGCCGATTGTGGCCCCGATGCTCTGTGGATTACAGGAGGCAGGACTGAGACTGCTCAGCGAGGAGGGAAGCTGGCCGGAATGGAGGTAACGAAGTTGGGGGACAGTGGGTTCCCTACATGGCTGGTCAGGAAGAGGCAAAGGCCTGTGTGCTAAGGACCAGGTTAAAGGGACTCAGGGGAAAAGGTAGCCTTGGGTACTGGAGGCCAGGTACTGGGATCCTCAGCCTGGTCCCCACACACATCCACCAGTCCCATCTCAGGATAGAGACTCATCCTGGGAGAGTGGTAGTTTTCATTCCCTGCAGCAATTCAAGGTCTGGCCTTGGTGCCTGCAGATCATATTACATGGATTTGTCGCTCTGCTTCTCTGAGCCCGTTTTTCTGTCTTTAAAATGGGGTCAAAAGAATCCGTCATCTGGCAGGGCCACTGTGAGGATCAAGTAAAATTGCATATATGAAAACTAAAGCCCCATTCAAATATGTAGGCTGGCTCCCTCAGTTTCCCCAGGTATAAAATGAGTGTAAGAATTGTATTTCCATCCATCATGGGACTCTGGGAAGACTGTAACCAGATGTCATGTGTGAAAGAGCTGGGGAATAGGGAAAGTGCTATGGACCCATCAGGCTCACTGGGGCAGAGTGTGGTTAGTGTAGCTGCCCGGCTTGTGCTCTGGGCTGTCCTGCCAGCAACCAATCTAGGGCAGGAGCAGCTACTGCAGCTGCTGCCAGAGTAGACCAGCTACCTCCTTGGAAGCCTATCGTGCAAGCTGCTCTTTGACCTCCCCACCCCCTCCACCCACCCCAGGTCACACTGAGATCAGGTGAGCAGCAGGGAAAGGTGGGGCTTCTTGTTCAGGTGATACCCATACAGGGCTGATGTACTCATTAAGCACAGGACCTAGGGTGCTGCTATGGACTGTTTGTGTCCCCCCAAATTCATATGTTGAGATCCTAATCCCTGACATGATGGTGTTAGAAGGTGAAGCCTTGGCTCAGTGCCTGTGGCTCAAGTGGCTAAGGCACCAGCCACATACACCTAAGGTGGCGGGTTCGAATCCCCAGCCTGGGCCGCCAAACAACAATGACGGCTGCAACCAAAAAATAGTCAGGCGTTGTGGCGGGCGCCTGTAGTCCCAGCTACTTGGGAGGCGGAGACAGGAGACTCGCTTAAGCCCAGGAGTTGGAGGTTGCTGTGAGCTGTGATGCCTCATCACTCTATCCAGGGGGACAGCTTGAGGCTCTGTCTCAAAAAAAAAAAAAAAAAAAAAGAAGGTGGAGCCTTTGGGAGGTGATCAGCTTGTGAGGCTGAAGCCCTCGTGAATGGAGTTAGTGCCCTCATAAAAAAGACCCCACAGACTCTTCCACCCCCTCTCCACCATGTGAAGTTGTAAGTCAGCAGTCTGCAACCTGGAAGAGGGCCTTCCCCAACCCCCATGCCGGCATCTAGCTCTCAGACCTCCAGCCTCCAGAACCACGAGGAATAAACATCTGTTGTTGATAAGCTGCTCAGTCCGTGGTGCACTGTTACAGCTGCCTGAGGAGACTATAAGGTACATGATACTTTTAGGAGCCCCAAAAATGTGAACTTCAAGGTTTAAAATAATGTTTGAATAAATCATGTTTGTTTTTATGTCAACATAATCACAAATTATAACTTTTATAATTTTTTATGTTCAGAAGGGGGCCGGTAAAGATGAAGATCGTGACGCACCCCCCAGTTCATGGTATACATTCTGCCCCACACTCAAGCAACTGACTTGTGTCCCCTCCCCTTGTTGTGAATGTGCTGGCCAGCCTCATTTCAGCCAAGATGTCCCCCGCTGGCCTTGAAGACCCACCCTGGGTCTTTTTATGTAACAGTACCAAACTTCAAACCATTGTTCTTTCTCCCACCCATCCTACTTCAATCCCATGAAATGAGGTCCTTCCTCATGGTCCTAGTTCCCATAGCCACAGAGGGAAGATGGTGAGGTCTGCCTACGTAACCATCCCAGGAGGCAGCTGGCTGCTCTGACTGATGTGACTGGGGTCCAGGGGGGTGGTCCTGGCGGGGAAGGGGGAGGGGTTGCTGGAGAAGGCCTAGCTTACCCTCTGGGTTCACCCCAGCCCTGGCTCTTCCTCTGTAAGATGGGAATCAGAGACCTTTGTCTTCCTACTTCACTGGACTAACCGAGACTGTCAGGAAGCCACAGGGGAGGTTCTGGAAGGAGCGAGACAATGAACACTGAAGGCAGAACCCCTTTTTTTCCCTTCAATCGCTCAGTCCCTTCTTTTTCTGCTGTTTGTCCTGGTACTTAAAAGGCCCTTACAAACTGTAGGTGTTTGTGTGTTCTAGCTTATGCATCCAGAATAGTCTCCCCCCACACCTCCACAGACCCAGTGCAAATGTAACCTACTCTCAAAACAACAGAGGAAACCTAACAGCAGAGATGGCAGCGAAATCGGGGATTAAAATGTTCATTTGGACAATGTATTTCTTAATATCCAGTAATTTAGAACCTTCTGGAAGCAGGACTGACTCACCCAGAAAAATCCCCTCTCCCTTTTGGGGAAGTACTTGATAAGAGGCCTCTTCCCCACCCTCTCCCTTACCTTTAAGCACCTTTAATTTTGTCTCTGATTTCTGCTCCTACTCTTTTGTACTTTTGTTAAAAAATGTGGCTTGATAAGTCTCCCAATTGTTTAACAAAAACTATTTCCTTCTACCCAGTCTGTGAACTTCTGGCTGTCCTCAGGCAGTGTCATGGTGGGGGTGTGACTCAGTAAGGGACCATTCTCAAATCCCAACATGCTCTCCCTAGGCTCCTGGGCCCTGTCCTGGCCAGGCCAGGGGACGGTGAATGGGGTAGACACTCTGCTGGTCACCCTGAGGAGCTGGAGGCTGGCAAGTTCTAGCCAGAGAGACTCCCCAGGGAGGAGCTGTTGCCAGAGGCAGTTGTCCCCAGTGCTTTGCCATGGGAGGATTGTGCAAAACAAGGGACATGTCATCACAGGCAAATAAATCACTGGGCCCTTTGAGGACCCTTCAGTGAAAGACTCATTTGACCAACCAGGACTGGACAGTCCTTTAATGTTGACTTTTGGAAGCTGTGAGGCCTAAGTCTCAGCCTTCTTGAAATGAGTCACTTCCAAATGCCACAGTGACATTTCTGGGGAAAAGGTAGGTTTGAAGGGTGGTTAAATCAAACCTTTAGTGTGAAAGCCATTTTCTCAAAGACTGGCCTAATTCTACCATCTTGGACGGGTCAATTTCCAGATTTGGGGAGCACAAGTCTCCTTTACCCACATCCTCCTGGACTAGCTTCTTCCCAACTTTCCATAGGCCCAGACACTGCCCTGTTCCCCATGGCAGCCAGAATTGGGAGGCATCTTCTCATTTGCTCATGTCCTGGGTAGGGGCTCCTGATGGGCTCAGCCAGCACCAGCTGAGGCACAAAAGCTTGTAGGAAAGATTTCCTTCGGTGAACACACAGAGAACACAGATTCAGAGCATTTTTGGTTTTGATGTTTATTTTTTTAAACCCACTTGCAGTTTAGGTTCAGCTGGAAAGCAGGACATACCGACGGAGGGAAGGTGGTCGCGAGAGCAGGATTCCGCTGCAGCTTTGGCGGGAAGCCCCAGGTCCCTGCTCCAGGGAGGTAGGTCCTGTTGTCCAGCTCCCAGCTGGCGCAGGGGAGGCGGCCGGCCCTTCCGTGCAAGTGTCCCAAGCAGAAGAAAGTTGTCTTTCTCTGATCCTCGTCCTCAAAGGCCCAGCCAGAGGTTTCCCAACAGAATGCTTGGCAGCTGAGGGACATGACTCCCTAGGCAGGCCCTGAGAGTCTGTCAGACAGGGAACGCTGGCTGGTGTCTGATGCCAGATAACAGACAGGGACTTGGCTTCTTGGAGGCCTGTGGCTGGGGCGACCCAGAGCCCCTGGGCCCCCAACCCTCCTACAGCTGCCCAGTGGTACAGTTCCCACACCCCCCTCCCCATCCCTTGGAGAAAATAAAATAAAATAAAATAAAAATTAGAATAAATACCGACTTGTCCAACATTTACAATTACACGATGGACAGGATGATCCCCAAACCATAAAGGTTTACAGACTGGTTAAGCAAGGACAAACAGACAAAACTGGGTTTAAGGGTGCACACTCCCTGGGGGGGACGGTGGGGCTCCCAGCCTTGTCCAGGGGAGGTTGGGAGCCTGACTGGGGCTGTGGTCCCAGAGCTTAGGCAAAGCCACGAGGCCATGGGGAGCAGGGCTGTGGCAAGCCCCGCCGCCTTAGAGGAAAACAATGACTAACTCATCCTGACAGGCAGCGGGGAGAGACCGAGACAGGATCAACATCAGATGGCCGGACTGTGCCTCTTCCATGCGCCAAGAGCTGCGGGCGAGTAGGGGCAATAACACAAGCCTAACAGAAGCCTTAGAAACGCAATATCCAGTTTTGCCTCCCATCAAATACATTCAGAGGTCAACTTGGATATGGCTTTCCTTGCTCAGCAGAGGGGAGAGGACAGGGGTCTGGAGGGTGCTTACTTTGGCTCCCCCCCCCGGTTCCTGTCTGAGTAGTCTCCCATTAGAAGCTGCCTCAGAGTCTCGAATTTTAGGCTTTACTGTTATTTCTGAAAAAAAAAGAAAAATTTTTTTTTTAAACATTTTCCTTCCATGTCTGAAAAAGTAGCAGCAACCTGCATTTAGAAAAACAGCTCAAAGTGTTATTCAGATTGGCCAGGAAGCGTTTTCAAGCAATGGAACAAACTAGGCAAACTGTAAGTCTGGAGCCACCGTGACACGACACGTAATTAAAAATATATTTATATATGTATACATATTTATATCTCACTTCTTCACACTCTGGTCCTAACAGCCAATGAGGGTGGCCGTGGGGCAAGACCACCAAGGAGGGAGGGCGTGAGGAGGACAGTGTGGTAGGCCCTAGGGTGTCCACAGCCCCCTAGGGGCGCAGCCCTCCACACAGTATTTAGGAGGCTCCCTTCATGAGGCTTGTTTCGGAGTCCCCGGCAGGGTTGAGGAGCCCCACTCCCAGGTCCCCTTGGCAGTGCACCCTCCCACAGGCACACCCCACACCCGAGGCGGGCAGGTGCGGCTCTCTGAGGGCTGCGCACTAGGCTGGGGCTGTCTGACTTCACGGGAGCACAACCTCCCTGGTGCCCTCTCTGGCACCATAACATCAGCCTGGCTCTCCCCCTTTAAGGCCTCCTGTGGGGTGTCTGCGTGTGTCCCCAGACCCCAGGCTGGGCCTAGATGAGGAGGAACGGCAGCAAGGAGAAGCTTGAGGAAGGCTGGGAAGAGAGGCCTGGGGCGGAGGGGGAAAGCAGGCCAGGGCAGGAGTCAGCCAGGGCTTCTTGGTAGATGCCACAGACCTGTTTCAGGTAAGGCTGCTCCCCCGGACCCTGTCCCCAACAAGCTCTTTCTGGGGACTAGCCTGGGCTCCAATACTGAGGCGAGAAGGCAGGTTGCAGCTGTGGGAAGGCCTGGGAGAACTGGGGAGGCTTCTTCCTATCCACCTGCTCTCCTGGAATCAGAGAGGAGACACCTCCCCCCACCATCACCTCCTGGCCAGTCTGATGTACACCAGGAGGGGCTCCATCTTGACCTAGGGCATGACCAGCCTCAACAAAGGAGCAAGGAAGGAAGCAGCTGGCCTCTGATATTTTGGGGGGCTCATCAAAGTGTGTGCTCCAACCCTGGAGATGGAACTGTGTAGACACCTGTTGCAATGTGCAGCCAGCCTCACAGAACTGACCCTCGTCCTGCTCTCGGGCCATCACAAAAGGGGCTGCTCCCTGGGACCAGGGCCTCTCAAGAAACCCCAGTCTGGAAAACTCCATCTGGCAGCCCCATCAGACCACCTGACTGTCCCTCTCAAGTCTCAATGGATTCACCCCTTCCCTGTGGGAGGGCTGGGCCCCTGCCTGGATTGAGGCTGGGGCAGTGACACAGCCCATTAGCTCCTCACCCCACCCTTCTCCCTAGTGAGACCTGCGTGTGGAGCGGGAAACATTACCTAGCATTTTGGTTTTAATTTGCCAGCCTTTGTGCCCTGTTTGCCACAAGGCCTGAGGGTCAGGCCTGGGCTTACTGTGGTCCCAGTGGTGAGAAAGACAGGATTCCAGAGGTGACCCCTGCTGGGGCAGAAGTTTCCAATTACTCTAATTGGCTACTGGCAAGCTGTCTGTGGCTAGAATCCTTCCAGAGGGAGCCCAGTTTGATCTCCCACTAATCCGGGGTCCTCGCGTTCTGACTGTGTGATCACATGATGGGCATTTTCACTGGGAGAGGACACTTCAAAGCAACTGACTTTTGAAAAATAAAACACAGTAAACAAAAGAGTGCAATGACAACTGCAAACTCCACCTTCCCCGCTGTCCCCGACCCCTGGGCCTGAGGCTGGGGGCTCGGGAGGAGGCAGGAGGGTGGAGCGTGAAGGTTAGAGAAAAGCTCAGCCTGGCTGACAAAGGCCGTCAATTGTGGGCGGCTGGTGGGGACCGTGCCTGCCTTTGTCCTCCCGGACATCTGCTACACGTCGTCTGCTGCCAGTTGGCGACTGCGGCTGACAGCATGAGGGAACAATGCGAGCCCCGTTGCCGACCCACTTTTTCAGCCTTCTGAGGTCCTTTCCGACCCAAGTGGTACCCGGCGTGGCAAGGAGTCAGAGATGAGATCCTCGCACAAAGCTCTGCGGGGATGGGTCTGAGGGGGGAGGCGGGAGTGATGAGGGGAGGGCCGGCACCACCAGGAAAAGAAACATGCTTCCCTTGTTGGTGAGCTGAGGGGCTCGTGCGGGGTGCTCCTCTCAAGGGCTCAATCCCATCCCTGTCTGGCTCCAGACTAGCCACCAACTCTGCCTGCATTCCTGCCCAATTCTTCCTCCCGCCAGGGCCACCCCTGTCCTCCCGCCTGTCCATCTGGCCCTGTGCACCAGGGCCCCAGCTGCCCGCGGGCCGCTCGCCAGGCCCCCTGGCTGTCAGGCTGTCAGTTTCTGGATGGTTCTGTTGTAGTACTGTGTGATGGGAGGCGTCAGAGGGTTCCAGCTGTTGGCATGGAGCTCGATGACCTCCAGGAGCAGCGACCGGGTCAGCATTGACTCCGAGGGGCACAGCATCTTGTCCCGGGCGCTGGCCAGGAGCTCTGTCATCATGTCGGGCAGCTGCTCCTCCAGCAGCCGGCCTGTGCTCTGCAGCTGCGGGCACAGAAGTGGGGTCAAGACAGGACTTGGGCCCTGTGATGGCCCCCTGACTGCCCTGCTTAGGTGGGCTGGGGGCAGGCAAAGGAAATAGCTGGCTTGTCTCAGGGACATGCAGACTCAGGCCTCAGTGCTGTGGCAGGAAGGAGGATGGGGTGGGAGTGGAGGGAGGGCACAGCCAAGTGTGGGATACCACACTAACATGCGATCTGCTGGCAGGAACCAGAGCGACCAGAGCATCACCTGCTGCCCCAGGGCTGATGGGGCTCTTGCCAGGAATGTGCCTCTTATCCCTTTCTCCCCAGAGCCTCTTATCCCTTCGCCCCCTTCCCTCCTACAGGAAGCCTCCCCTGACCACACTCGCATCCCAAACAGCTCCGAGATCTGCTCCCACTGGTGATCAGGTGGCATCATGTTCATTTTCACTTGCTAAAGTATCTCTCTGGAGGTGAGCTTAGTCATTATTACCCGCATGTGTTCCTGTGGAACTTGAGAGCAGGGACAATGGTTCCTATTTCTCTCTCTTCCCTTCTCTCCTGCTCCCGATCCCACCTCACCCAGAACTGACCTCTGCCCACAGCTATGACACAAAGCAGGGAGAGAAACATGAACTGGGGAGAAGGCCAGCTAAAGGTCCTGCCCTGTAGAGACCCTGATAATCTTGAAAAGCCCAACGGGGAAGGAGTCCCAATCTTCTCAGATCAGCACACCCCTGGTCAGCAGCCCCCCAGGACCTCTTCCTACAATCTGAATCCCCACCTCTGCCCCACCCTAGCCTTGACTCACCATTTTCCTAGGCTCTACCATTTTCATAAACCCTTCCTTGCCCTCCTAAAACCTCTGTCCCCTGACTTCTCAAGGCTCTGTGCCCACTGCATATCCACTCTGTGTGTGTGTGTGTGAGAGAGAGATCTATCCTTAACCAGACTAGGAAGGCAGGGACGTGCTTTCTCCTTCTTCTTTATCTCCCCTAGTCCCCAGCCCCTTGTAGGGTGCCCAGCTAGATCCCACCAAATGAATGCAGTGACCATCCTACAGACTCAGGCTGCCGTTGAGTTCCCAGCACTCCAGGCCTGAGTTCCTGGGTGGGGTCTTTGTGGTTGGGCTGAAGACACCTTCAATGCAGGAAGCCCTTCTCCTGCCTACACCCCACTTGGGAGTGCCCCGGGCTATATGCTCCAGGGCAAAGATCTGTCCCAAGTACTGGGCCAAAGCCAGTCTCTAAAGGAAGTTCCCAGAGGAAGAGTTTCCATGAACAATGGCTGCACATTGGCGACAGGAGTGATACCTCCAGAGGGGGCTGCTCTGGGTGGGTAATGCCAGCACAGGAATGCAAAGCAGAGAGCGCTCCCTGGGGGCAAGGGTTGTCTGGAGTCTCTGAAGTCTTTTGTGTGGCATGTGTCTGTGGGGACAGAGGGATAGTGGCCAATGCCAGCTGTCCATCCCTTTACAGAATCAGTTCTCTCTCCCTCCAGTCTGTGGCTGGCTTCTCTTCCCATCAGCACTTACTCTGGTTTAGGGTGGACGATTCTGGATGTAGAAGTCCATGCCTACTCCTGAAGCCATCAGCTACCGGCCCTGCCTGACAGAGCCTTCCTTTGGACATGCAAATGCCTCCAGTGACCCCTGCACCCCACAACTGCTAAGACATGAGGGATACACTGGATCTGGGGTCAGGATGTCTGAGCCCCATTGCTTACCTCCATGGAGCAGCAAAGGACAGCATCTTCCTTCACATCCTGAGACTGCAAGAGCTGCAGGAAAGAGAAGCGAAGAATGCCACTGAGGGGTGACAGGCTCCTGACAATCTCCTGCCACCCTGCCCTCTTCCCTCCAGACCCAGCCCTGATGCTGCTGGTCTCACATATCTCTGAGGGTCAGGCCAGAGTGAGAAGCCCATAGAAAGAAGAGAGCAGAAAGCAAGCTGCTCCGGGCAGCAGGGAGAGCTGGAGGACAGTGTGCCCGCACAGGGTGCGCCCTGGGCCAGGTCGGAACGCCTTGATTAGAGGTTGTTACACGGACAGAATGAAGTGACAAGGGTGTTGGGATTGTTCACTGTTAACAACTGGGTAGCAGAAATCCTTAGGGAGGTAAAATCAACCTCAGGGTGGGCGACTGGTGACTCCCCTGCATGTGAAGGCGCCCAACCATCGGCTCTGGCACACCTGAGCCCCAGCTGCAGGAGGATGCCCAGTAATTAAAGCACCTTCTGCACTGGTCTTGCACTGCGGACTTTCAAAACCATGGGCACATGGACTTGCCCAGAGGCTGGAGTGCCTGCTAACCAGGTCTGTGGCCCAGTCACTCAGTGCTTGGGTTGGTCATGCCTTGGTTTAGACTGCCTGGCTCACACTCTCAATCTCAATCTCTCTCTTTCTTTTTTTTGCAGTTTTTGGCCAGGGCTGGGTTTGAACCCACCACCTCCAGTATATGGGGCCAGCGCCCTACTTCTTTGAGCCATAGGCACCACCTACTCTTTTTTTTTTGAGATGACAGTGTCTCACTCTGTCACCCCAGCTTAAATGCAGTGCAGCAGTATCATCCATCATAGCTCACTGTAACCTCAAACTCCTGGGCTCAAGTCATCCTCCTGACTCAGCCTCCCAAAGTGCTGGGATTATAGGTGTGAGCCACCGTGCCTAGCAATCTTTTAAATTGAGATATAATTCACATACCATAAAATCCACCTTGGAAAAGTATGTAAGTCAGTGCTTTTTAAGGACATTCCCAGAACGGTGCAGCCATCACTGCTACTTAATTCCTGAACATTTCATCATCCCAAAACAAACACGTCCCTCTTATCATTCTGCATTCCACTGCCAGCTTCTGGCAGCCCCCACTCCACTTTCTGTTTCCATGGATTTGCCCGTGGTGGTCATAGCGTATAAATGGGACCATGCAGTGTGTAGTCTCTGTGAGTGGCTCCTTTCACGTGACATAAAGTTTTCAGGGTTCACTCATGTTGCAGCGTGTACCAGTACTTCATGCCTTGAATGGCAAAGTAATATTTCACAGTAATGGATAGATCACGTTTTATTTATCCATTCACCAGCTGATGGACATTTGTGCGGTTTCCACTTCTTGGCTATCACGAATAACACTGCTGTGAACACTGACGGGCCAGTTTTTATGTGGCTGCGTTTTCAGTTCTCTTGGGTAGATGCCTAGGAACAGAACTGCTGGGCTGTGTGCTAGCCCTGTGTTTTGCTTTTTGAGTAACTGTCAGCCCGTTTTCCAAAGTGGCTACACCACTTTAAATTCTCATTGGCAATCAGGGCTCTGACTTCTCTCCATCCTTACCAGCACTTGGCACTTCCCAGTATTCTGATTCACTCTCTCTTGAGCTCCCAGTAGCACTGGTGTGCTCACCACCACCTTCCCCAAACCCTCCCTGGGCATGGCCCCCAGAGCTCTAGTACTTGTTCTCCCTAAACCCCACTGGCCACTCCTCCCACTGTCCCCTCTGCTGGCTAACGCTTCTCCTCCCAGTCCCTAAAACAGGTGTTCTCCCAATATTTTGCTCCCCAAACACTTATCCTCAGGCTTTTGCTCTTCCCATCCTGCCATGTTGACCACCCAGCTATCAGGGGACCCCACATCTAGCTCATTTGCAGGGTGCCCCCCACACTTGCTGGGCTTCTCTTTCTGGATGACAACCTGGCTTGGATGATACCCTGGCTGGCCCACCTGTTCCTCGAAGCAGCTCACTGTTACCTCCAGCTCAAAGTCACTGTCATTTTCCTTTCCCTTCACCACCCATAACCAAGGAGGTAGCAGGTTCTGCTAGCTTCCTCTGAAATGTCTCCAGAACACGTCAGCCCCTCTTTCCTGGGAGGCCTTGCTCTTTCACTCATGGGGGACTGCCTGGCTTCCTGACACATCTCCCTATGGCCACTTCCTTCCCCTGCAGTCCTTGTACACACTGGCCAGAGTGATTGCCCACCATGCCATACCACTGTCCTGCTCAGGAAACGCTGGACACAGAGGCAAGCTCAGGAAGCGTCGGACATAGAGGCAACTATTACAAGGCAAATGTGACAGCACCACCAAGCCTGGGGCTCCAGGTCGGGCCATAGTTCACTCCTAACCCACAGCTTGAGGAGCCCAATAACACCTAACTCAATTCACGAAAAGGTCACCCCCTTTTTTTTTGAGACAGAGTCTCACTCTGTAGCCCCAGGTACAGTGCCATGATGTCATATATCACAGCAACCTCAAACTCTTGGATTAGGTGATCCTCCTACTTTAGCCTCCTGAGTAGCTGGGACTACAGGCACCCGCCACAACACTCAGCTAGTTTTTCTATTTTTAGTAGAGATGGGAGTCTTACTCTTGCTCAGGCTGGTCTTGAACTCCTGAGCTCAAGCGATCTGCCTGCCTCAGCCTCCAAGGTGACTCACTATTTTTATGGAGAAACATTTTGAGACATTTTATCAACAGGAATTTTTGAACTATGTATAGTACCTAATCAATAAATACTGAGTGGAATGAGGAATGAATGAAAACAGATTACATACTATGTAAAATGTAATTTTACATAATTTTCCCATAATCTCTATAACCTTAAAGCCAGGGTAGACCAATCAGACTATGGACTTAAGCTACCCAATCTCGACCTGGTCTTTCCATCCCATGCTGGATGTCAGAGCTCCTTGGTCACACTGTAAGAGATGCCGAGGTAGCACTTGTGAAAAGCACATAAATCTACCAAAAAAAAAAAAAAAAAAAAAAAAGAAAAAGACAAATGACCGGGGGCTCATCCCTTTCACAAACATGTGCATTTGCTGAGCAACTTCTACGCCTGGCACTGTCCACTGCAGGGAACAGAGCAGACTGAGTCCTACTCCAGGGATGTTGTAGATTTGAACAACAAACCAATAAATATTTGTATCAGATGGTGCTAAGTGCTGTGCTTAAGCAAAGTGATAGACATGTTACTTAGCTTGATTGACTCATTCCACATATACACATATCAAAATGTCTCATTGTACCCCATTAACGTATACAATTATGGCTTGTCAATCAAAAATAATGTTATAAATCAATTTTTTTTTTGTTTTTTTTGAGACAGAGCCTCAAGCTGTCCCCCTGGACAGAGTGCCGTGGCATTACAGCTCACAGCAACCTCCAACTCCTGGGCTCAAGCGAGTCTCCTGCCTCCGCCTCCCAAGTAGCTGGGACCACAGGCGCCCGCCACAACGCCCGGCTATTTTTTGGTTGCAGCTGTCATTGTTGTTTGGCGGGTCTGGGCTGGGGATTCGAACCCTCCACCTTAGGTGTACGTGGCTGGCGCCTTAGCCGGTTGAGCTATAGGCGCCGAGCCATAAATCAATTTTTAAGTGGCCTTGGGTAAGGGTAGCAGGGGTATTAGCTTAGTGGCTGGGTCATCAAGGAGCCAGGCCAGTGATGCCTGGTCAGTGTGGTCCAGGCAGGTGGGTGCTTGGCTGGTGGAGGTGGCCAGAGTATGGAACACATGGCAGCATCTCAGTAAACGACGCCAGGGCCTTGCAACCCAGGACAAGACTCTGAGTTTTACACTGAGCAGCATGAGAGTCACAGCAGGGCTTTGAGCAAAGGCAGGACAGGGCCTGGATTATGTTTCAAGTGGACCATTTTGCTGTGGGTGGGAAGGAAGGGCAAGCACTGATTTACCGCAGACAGAAGAGATAGGTCTGTACGTATCCACCTTTGGACTGCATGGAGAAGGTGAGAGAGAGAGAGATAGAGAGAGGTGGAGGGGAGGGGGAGGAGAGGAGATCAGGAAGGAGTAATTTCTGCCTCAGGCCTCTCCCTGGCTAAAAGTCACGGGTTCCTATGACTTCCCCTTTGTCCAGGATAAAAGCCCCAACTCCATAGCTGGTGTGGGCTCCAAGTGACTTTTCTATCTTGAGGCTGTCCACTCTAGCTCTCCACACTGTCCATCCTTCAAGGCTAGGTCCCTTTCCAGCTGCTCCTTGGAACCTTCCTGATCACCCCAGGGCCCTCCCTGCTTCCCTGCCCAGACAGTGAGAAGGCAAGTTGCAGTGTGAACTGCGTTGTCCTAAAGGCAGGGACAGTGCCCCATTCATCCCTGCTGCCCTTTAACAGCAGGTGCAGCCTGGCCACCCTGGGGACTCACTGAGAGTTGGCTGACAATTTACGTGCTGTCTTCTGCTTTTGTGAAAGGGACGGGCAGAGAAGAAGGTGAAAGACAAATGCATTTTGAAGGTGACATCCTTGTCCACTGACCAAGAGCTGGGGCCAAAGTTGTGACCTGGGCATGACATATGAGTAGTCAGGAAGGAGGGACGAAATCATACACAACCTACCCGGGTGGGGGTGCTGTCTACACTGCTGGCTTGAAATCCAGATTCTGTACCCCTTCTCCTGTCATCCTGCCTCCACCCACCCAGCCTAGGGACCCACCCAGCAGGGGCCACAGTGTCTACTTCTGGAGGCCAAGGACACATCTTTACTACATGCCCAGCGAGCCTGCAGGCCCCCGCAGTGACAGGTCGAGAGAGCTCAATCCCTCTCCGTATGCGGGGCTCTGCCCAAACATCCCCTCAACCCTGCCCTGTCTGCTGGGTAACTGATCCCTCCCCATGATCCTCCTGGCTCACTTCTCTCTACCGCTCCTGATATATTATCTGCTTGTTTGCCTATTGTTTGTCTCCCCCAGATCCTTCCCCCATCTTTGTGACTACATGACCTGGTGACTCCCCTTCCGTCCCTTGGGCTGCTGCCTCTGCCCCTTCCCTGGCTAAGGCGGGGC